GCGAAAAAAAGTTTTTGTGAAATTTGACATTTTTTGAATTTTTTTGCATATCCGGGATCTTGATTTTTTCAGAAAATGACCAAGTTCTTTTTTGCAAGATACGGGCCTGAAATTTATCAGAAACTTGTCAGATGGTGTTGCAACCATAGGCTAAGGCGTTTTAGATTGCTTCGAGCCAAAAAAAATTTTTACATTTTATAGTTTTCTGAATTTTTCTTGCATATCTGGGTTCATGGATTTTTGAAAAATGAGTTTTTTTTATATATACAAGGTTGAAATTTATCGGAAACTTTTTAAATGGTATTGCGAGGATAAATTAAGGCATTTCAGGTTGTTTAGAGCCAAAAATAATTGTTCATGAAATTTGATAATTTTCTGAAATTTTTGCATATTCGGGGTCATAGATTTTTCCAAAAATGACCAAGTTTTTTTTGACAGATACGGACCTGAAATTTATTTGCAACTTGTCAAATGGTGTTGCAAGCGTAAATTAAGGCATTTCAGGTTGTTTGGATCAAAAAATAATTTTTTATGAAATTTGATAATTTTCTGAAATTTTTGCATATTCGGGGTCAAAGATTTTTCCAAAAATGACCAAGTTCTTTTTTGACAGATACGGACCTGAAATTTATTTGCAACTTGTCAAATTGTGTTGCGAGCGTAAATTAAGGCATTTCAGGTTGTTTGGAGCAATAAATAATTTTTTATGAAATTTGATAATTTTTTGAAATTTTTGCATATTCGGGGTCAAAGATTTTTCCAAAAATGACCAAGTTCTTTTTTGACAGATACGGACCTGAAATTTATTTGCAACTTGTCAAATTGTGTTGCGAGCGTAAATTAAGGCATTTCAGGTTGTTTGGAGACAAAAAAATTTTTGAAGATATACTCCCATTTACTACATATGGACGTCTTGTCACATTTTCAGGGAAGATAATGTTTCTTAATGTCTGGAATGGCAACTCTGAGCCAATGCTTATAGGCAAATGCTTATAGGCATTTGACTAAATCAAAGGTGCTACCAAACTATTTAAGGATAGATAAAGGCACTGAAACTGGTGTCATGGCTTCAATACATACCTATCTGAGAAGCAAAAATGGCGATTTGGACGGTCAGCTGATTCAATTTGATACAGTTCCTCCACAACTAACAAAATTGAACATTGGTGAAGAGATGTACATGAAAGAATGGAGAAGGGCCTGAAAGTATATTTAGATGGTTACTTGCAACACATCAGTATGATCCACATAATGCCAGAGATCGTAAGATATTAGCCTACATATTAATTCCTGTTCTTCAGCGTGAATGTGACGCTTTTGCTCGTCTGTGGAATTCTCACCGTGTCAGGCACCAGTGTGGATTACAAGTTCCCACAGGCATACCTAATCACATGTATTCCTTTTCAGAATGCTATGGTGCTCAAAATAAAGGTTTAGCAGTAGAAGAAAATGATTCGTTAGATGCAGCTGATTTTGCAGAACTGGCCAGATGATTACTTAGCTGCAGATGTCAAAGTAAAGTTTTCAGACCTTTTACCTGAACCGGAAAATTTAATATTCCAAGAAACAGTTGCAGCATATCAATATTTTAAGCAACAAATTTAGACATGTTCAGTTTATAATAAAGTAAACATTTTTCAGTTAACATTACTACAACAATTGTTCACAAAAGGTTTAGTTTCAAATCCGAATGCAGCACTTAAAACTTTTTTGTTGAAATTTTTTTACATACGAAACAGAGGCTTGTACAATTTAACAGGAGTTTAAAAAATAATAGAATACTAATTTATTAAAACAAAAGCTTCAAACAAACAAAAATTAATACACCTGGGTGCGAGGGGGCAGTCGTCCTTTGTTCTAAAACGATAGAAAAATGTTATGTCATCTTTTCAAAACAATAGGCTTTTCTCCCCCCCCCCCCAATATCTGAACAAGTGTCCGCCCCTGATTAAAAATACAATTAAATTTTTTTTATTTTAGCATGGAATACTCTTATTTTATTGACTTGTAGCATCTTTAGATATTTGCTTCAACTTAGTTGTCTGCAGTATGTATTGCAAACATGGTGAATAAAGCAGTTTTCAAATACAGGATCCCTTAGATTCCCTGCACAGAGCAATTGCTCATCCTGCCCATTTTGAAGCCTAGATGAAGTTCCTATTTCTGGGTCACACAATTTGTGTCCAACACCTTGTAAGTCAAGAAGTACCAATCTTCCACCATTGTCAGCAAGCGAAAAATGAGACACTGCTTCAGGTTTGTCGGGAATACCATTATTATTTGACATGTTTACAAAATTTCTGAGGCAAAATTGGCTCCAATGTCACTGGCAGATCGCCAAGCAGTGCAAAGTATTCAGTTCAGTTCAGTTCAGTTTTATTTTGAATTCCACTGGATACATACACTTGTTGCAAATTAGAAATATCCAAACTTAAAAGTATAAACAATGTAAAAGGAAGTTAAATAATATAAATGTAACATAACAAATACAGAGTAGAGGAGAAACAAGCTAGTACTTATTTTATTTGTCGTATCGTACTTAAGTAAATGGTATCATATCTAAACACTTCTCCAAAGAATTCCTTGACATCATTTACATCTTTCTTGAGGCGATTCGAGATTCCTTTTGCTCCCATGTGCATTTGCACTTGCTTCCTTGTGTGATCATTAGGTGGCGTATCACCAAGTAATGGCTAAGTGTACGCCATGTATTTTCTCTAAACTTCTTCACTACCTACAATTTTCCTTTCCTGGTGGCTCTAAATGCATGTCGAAAACCCCCAGTTCCAAGGCTTTCTTTTTCAATTTCAAAATCTTTTGCTTCATTTTGTGCCATACTTTGTTAGCAATACCAAATGATTCCAATGCCAGAGAGATTGTATCATGTTCAACTGGTTTGATTAACTTTCCGGCATTAATATGGTCAGCGATTGATATAGACTTTGGGATGTGTGATGATTGGATGTTATTTATTTGGGTTGCGGTTTTTGCAAAGGCATCTCACTATGGCCAAGTCTTGACCTTGATGTTTTTCTGGTACCTAGATCACGACTTAGTTCTTGCTGCTGATGTGCTGCGGTTTTAGACCATTTTTTGTCACTTTTCAGTGTTGCTGATGAGGTTGTAATGAATCCCACGAGAAACACTTTCCTTCCAACAACATGCTCATCACGTGTGCTTAAGAGTCCTCTGTCAGAGTATAGAACATCATACGATCCGCTTGGAGCTGCGTAGAAATGTTCACAAGCCTCTTTTACATTAAAAGTGAACGAATCAAAGTTTGAAAAGTCAAAGTCTCTTGCATCCAAGGGCTCAAACTTCTTTAGCTTCCCAGACGGCTGGGAGTTGACTCTTTGAACAACAATAGATTCAATACCTTTTCTCGATTTTTTGCTTTTCCCATTTTTGCAGGTTCTCTTGGCTTTAACTCTGGCCATAAAATTCCAAAATTGGTCTTTGCCGTCTGCCATGTTTTCTCGTCTTGCTTGCTACCGACTCCTTCACAAATTTACACAAAGTACCAGTGTGATAGTTGATAGCGCTGGGCCACACACAAGAAAAAAAACATACGAAGGAAGAAAAAATTCATTTACATAAGTAACTAAAAACGATTTATGAAAATTGAAGTATAAAAAAACTTTTTGCATTATAAATAAATAAATAAAATTTCTATAAAGTGAAGTGAAATAAAATAAAAAATAATTATAAGTAAGTTCAAATTTAAG